TTTAATGTTACCCTAGATAATGCCATCAAAAGTTTCTACATAGGCTCTTGTTTTTTAATGTTCAGTAAATAAAATTACCAATACTTAAATTTGATTTGTTTCTCACTGAAGCACCTCATTAATATATTCAAATTGCTGGTTTTTTTGTTATTTAGTCATTTAGCTAACTATTATTCGTCATATCTGCTGCCTTATCCATTTTCTTTACTGTTTGTTTTCTTTGTGATATTTATTCACAGGAGGTATAGGAGATGCAGTTAGTGCAGCTCTCTCACAATGTGGCGTAGATCATATTGTTCAGAGATTAGCTATCAGAGAAGTGCCGCGTTCTGGGAAACCAGAAGAACTACTAGCCAAATATGGTATAAATGCAAATGCTATTGTTCGTGCTGTAAAAGCATTACTTGGCAAATGATAAATGCTGCATGGTATTATCTTCTGTTTCAATAATTTTTATGATTCAATATTAGGTCAATGTTAATTGATTCAATTTTAATTACGAAATTCTAATCAATAGTTTTTCACTCCATAAGGATAAATATTATTGCGCTTTCAGTACACATTTGTTGTACCATGTGAATCTTTGAACTGAATTATGCTCTGTGTTGTCTAGTTAGTTTTCTAATAATTAATCTTTATTTTCCAGTAATAAAAATTTTTTTTCTGAACTTTTTGAATTCTTTTTTACTTAATATATGCTAATTAAAATTTCAGTCGTAGTAATTAGAATGTATAAAACGAATACTGTAGAATACTAAAGTCGGCAATTCAACTTGTTTAAATATTTCAACAAAATTCATATTGACTATCTGACTCATGCTACACACACTTTGTTCTCGGGAAACTTATTCAAAACAATTGAATTTAAAGGTCCACTTAGGATCTCCCATCTAGTCACCAGGTATTGTGACACTCTGAAATTCATTATTGCTCATAGGTTTGTCCAGCCTCTGTAGTGATTGCGCAACATATGCTATTAAGAATGAAGTCCTCCTCAGGTCTTTTAATTTGAGTCGTTATTCTTGCCAAGTTAACTAAACCTATTTGTTTTTCAAATGGGTTCTATGTCTTAGTCATTAAGTAGTGTTATCGAATCGTTCTGACTTGTGTCTGCCGAGTCTGGTCTGCAAGAGAAATTTTAAAACTGTCAGCTATATAAATAAACAATCATACTATTTTTAACCTTTAAATATTCGCGTATTTCACAACCTTCGTTTGTACTGGATATTTATCTTTCCTTAGAGTTTCTTGTAGCTAACTTGTTATACATTGGAGTCGAAAACAGTATTTCCCATTCGCTGTACATACACGTTTCTTTGAATAAGGAAATCTCCATATAATTAAGCAATAAGTCATTTTCTACCCATTGAGACCCTTATCTGATTGTCGATTACTGTGTTTCAGTTCTCAATTTATTATACTATTAAGTAGGCAGTTCCACAATTTTATAATATAACCTCGGAAAAATGCACGTCTAACGATAAACTTTAGCATAGTCTCAAAATATTACTTCAGTACTTTTCAGAGTTCACTTTAACTGCATTATTGCTCAAACTATGACCTTAGAAATGTCTATTCTTGACATACTTTAAGTGGATTTATTCTTGCAAGAGTAATGTAAGGGTTAACAACCTTTGTAATTACTTACGCCTGTTACTTCTCGTAAAGGAGCATGGGCCGCTCACCAGCATTCTCCATCCAACCCTGTCCTGGGCAATCCTTTCCAGTTGTTATTCATCCTTTTCATATCTGATTCTATTTCCCGACGTAATGTGTTCTTTGGCCTTCCTCCTTTCCGCTTCCCTTCAGGATCCCAAGTTAGAGTTTGCCTCGTGATTCAGTTTGATGATTTTCTCAATGTTGTATCCATTTTCATCGTCTTTTCCTAACTTCCTCTTCAGCTGGAAGCTGGTTTGTTCTCTCCAACAGGAGCCTGTTGCTGATGGTGTCCGGCCAGTGGATGTTGAGTATCTTGCGTAGACAACTATTTATAAATGTGCCTTATTGATGGTGGTTGTAGTAGGTCTCCAAGTTTCAGCTCCGTATAGTAGAACTATCTTGACGTTCGTATTGAAGATTCTGACTTTGATATTGGTTGAAAGTTGTTTGGAGTTCCATATGTTCTTCAATTGTAGGAATGCGGCTCTTGCCTTGCCAATCCTCGCATTTACGTCTGCATCTGATCCTCCCTGTTCATCGATGATGCTGTCCAGGTACGTGAACGACTACACATCTAGATTGTCGCCATCTAGTGTTATTGGGTTGGTGTTCTCCGTGTTGCATTTGAGGATCTTGTTTTTTCCTATGTGTATATTGAAGCTTACTGATGCGGAGGCTACTGCTATACTAGTTGTCTTCATCTGTATCTGTTCGTGTGTATGGGATAGGTCATCTGCGAATACCAAATCGTCTAATTTGTTCTGAGCTATCCATCGTATTCCGTGTTTTTCCTCACATGTGAAGGTCTTTATAATCCAGTTAATCACCAGAAAATAGAGGAGGAGGTAGAGTAGACTGTAGCTCTTCTAGAGTTGCTTCCAGTCCCAAGCCCGGGTAAAGGAAAAGGGGTGGGCATGAGGTTTAACGACCCTATCCCGTAGAGAACTAGCTAGAAAACGATAACCAGATAAAAATAATTCAAACAATTTCTATGATTAGCTGAGATTTAATATAGTTTTTATCAATATACTGTCTAAATTATTGATGGTATTTTTAGTAGAAAGATTACGTAAAACCAACAAGAGCAGCACCGATGCAGTGTTTAATTTGGGGGATTATTTACCACTATATGATAGATGAACATAAGTTAGCCAACTTATGACAGAAATGATGTTTTCGAAATACGGAGTAATAAATAATGAATTGACGTTTAACGAGCTTGACAGAATCACTCATTTATAGCAACATAGAAACTAATGCATTTCATAGCAAATGATTCAGATAATTTTCGCCCATTTATAAGTGGTATGGCAACTCGAACTGATGCACGTACGTACGAAGTTCTACGTTGTTACTGACTGACTGACATTTATAAGTAAACTTTAATTATTTAGTGATTGAGTGATAGTTAGCAGATTGATGATATTCAAAATTCTTCTAGACTGCAAAAATACTTAACGGAAGTGTTCATTTGTAAATTGAATGCACGTAACTGGATTTCAATAAATACTATAAATAACGTATAACATGTGAAGCTGTTTATATGTAATCTGATATGAAAGATGTTTACAAACAATTAAAGAATGAGGTATTGTTTTGGAGCTGAAATTCATAACAATTTTACAAGACTTGTGAGAGAATGATGACGATATACATATTAAAAAAAGTAAGTTTTAATTGGCATAAAGTTCAATATGTAGTTGTTAGTTAGTATCTAATTACAGAGTAGTGGAACGAGTTTTCAGTTGTTAATATGACCTTTCGGATAAAAATCTGTTTTAACCAAATATTAAACAAAAGGTTTATTAGTTTAAAGCTAAGCACAACACGAACAATGCCTAAACTGAATCGTACGTGAGATTGAAAGCTAAGATTATCATAACACACCCCTCTTAATACATATTAAGTTCGCAATAAGTTATTATCATGATTGTTAATATTTTCTACATCGTTCTACACATTTTACGCATACCATTTGATTTATTACTATTACAATGCTTATAACTCGACATCTTACAACGAATCATTCTGGCCTTTAGCAAATGACCTTTCTAAATTACAAATCACACAATTTTGAAGTAATTATGCCGTGACAGATGCAAAGGTTAACCATTATTAACACAACATTTGAAACAGTTGCTGAGACTATGTACTAAGAATGTGCAGTTACAATTTAACAATAAACTATACTGTCAAGCAGATGGGGTGGCGAGGACCAGTTTTTAGAACCTAAAGGCAAATTCCTTGGCGCGAAATTAGTACCAATGTACACGATACTGCTCAATGACACAAACAAATATAGGTAAATATCCGTCATAAAATATTTCCAAATGCATGCATCATTCTACATGTGCATTTAAAAGTGTATAGATTGAAAGACGGACATCTACTCGTTATAATAAGCATATTCCAAAAACAACTCATCCAACGAGAAAATTGTTTAGGGAATTCATTAGCACACCACCTGCTGGACACGCGACATAATGTGTATCTAATGAACGCGTTATTGAAATCCGCAGAAGCCATAACATTTGGGATGCTTTAACCTGACCTTGTATACAAGAAGAGTCGGGAGTAAACATTCAAATGTCTTGGAAACATTTTAACCACTTATTTTTTCAACTGCATGCGATCACAATTCGGTAAGTTGGAATCATGTCAACTTTCCATTTCTAAGCTTACAAAAATGTCATATCAACCAATAAAATTAATATCGAAATTCTACAACTAGAACCTTATACAGTTATAAAAAGATCTACTCCATGTTGTTTTATCAAAATTTATAGAATGATCATTCCTTTTAAAACGTTATTCTTAAGTTCTTTCACATTATGCATAACTTATTCAATATCGATTGAAATTAGTATCATGCTCTTAATTGGAATAATTACACATACTAACTTTTATGTAGCTGAAGAGAATGTAACAGAATATAATGAATTCGTCGTATTATCCAAGTATTGTCGTTCTTCCTTTGTCTAGATTTCTAAAGGAAATAGTTCCAATTATATTTGTTATTTTGTAAATGAACTCAATGATCTTCGTTTACCTGCCGACAGAGTTATTACTGTTATTCACAAACGATTACGGGTTTCCACATATAAAAAAATCGTTTGCGATATTTTATGCAACGATTGATGGTAGCTAGCATTAAAATCCAGGATGCACGCTTCATCTTCTTTGGGACTCGTCAGCTGGATGTACCTGGTGTGCGAATAGTGAGATGGAGTTTAAAACCAAATGTACTGGGTTCGAGTCCCAGAGTGAACATCAATGCTTGTGATTTACTGACAACATCGAGGCGATCCGCATAGAAAGCACAAATGCCAAAAGAGATTGATCAATTCCAGGGCTCAACATTAATGGAAAGATCCAAACAACCAATATATAAAAATCAAAATTGTTTACAACAGTTCCACTAATGTTTACATGATATTGTTATAGTTTGTCTAATGGATTCCATGATAATTTGACGATTAGAGAGTAAATTTAAATATTTATATAAAACGGTTTAAAATGGCAATTATAAGTGAAAATTTGTGAACTTTGTTACACAAGTTTGTTTGTGTCAATAACTTACATCATTAATACATAAGTAATGGTTATTACAATGTTAGATGTACTAGTTTATATACATGGTTATTTCAAAATATCTACTATTATAGCTATGCCAATTTTGTGAATAAAACCAAATAAAACAACATAGATATAAATCACCACTCGCCAATCACTCGACATAGCATATCCTTACTTGAAACATCGAAATCAACAAATAGTACTAACTATTAAGGAATAACTTAGAAAAGTAACTTCGGTCGAACAAAATGGATTTCTGAATCATAGTAGATAACACTCTATGTGCAACAACTTTATTTCACTCCATTATTTGTCAGTGATAAACGCATTTTAATATATTTGTAAGTTATGTTAAGGTAATAAGGCGTAATACTAAAGTTTGAGAAACACATTTAATCCAAATCATTGAGTATTTAATAATGACAGTATAAGTAACAAGAAATATAAAAGGAAAATAATATTAAATGCAATCAGTTTGAGATCACAGAATATTTTTGTTAGAAGAAAAACATATTAAAAACAAATTGATTTGGTTGTTCACGAAAACGACAATTATAGTCATAATCATAGTAACGAATAAACGACACATACATGACTAAGCGAGAAAAAAAAGCAGGAAACAAACGTTGCATCAAATTATGCAGCAGTTATGATAGCCTTGAACAGTACAAGATTCAATGAAATTGGATAATTTAGAGAGGCATTTCAAATTCGTATTTTTCTTCTTCAAACTCCTGAAAATAAGAAACCATAAATTGATGTTATAAATGGGAGATCTATGAAACTTTTGGATCATAATATAAAAAATTTATTTAGCCATGTATATATTTTCGCAGAACAAAGTGATTAGGTTACTAAATACGAATCGAACGTCTAGATTTAGTTAGTTACTATTGTTTCGGTGACTTTTTTTAACGTTACATATTATAAACCGCTCAGTATAAATTTGATGAAGTACAACAATGATGAAAGGACTCAATATTAAAACATTAGTAAATTGAAACCCAGTCTGGGTTTCTGTTGTAAATATTAATAGTACTCATCATATTGCACGAAAAGTAATTAGTTGTGAAGTTCACTCACCAATATGAAAGAATACTCTGTAAATTTTGACCAACGATCATAGATGAAGTTTCTCGGTGAATTTTGTTTACTATTTGAACGACCAAAATGTTTGCAGAATAGGTTTGCTACTTAAGTTAATTTAAGTAGTATACTTTAGTAACAAAAATATCGCCAACCATTTCATACAACGAAGACCTTTTTCATTATGATTATTATTCGTTAGATTGGAAGCAAGGAAATAAACTAACGATTAAACTACGATATTATGCTTAGCTATATAACTTAGAGCTGAAATTTCATCGACATATCTCTTGACTTTGTAAGCTAATCCAATAAACATGTAAACATTGGGTGCCAGTAACACCTCAAGTGTTTAGAAGAGAGTATAAGATAAATAAAGTTGAATGAAATGCAATAACTAATACTTATATTCTAAAATTCCGCTTCAAGGCTCCACTGGTCGACTTGATGATTTCAAAGCTATCCAAATAAACGAAAATAATAGACCATATTCTAAATACTTCAGTGTATTTATTTCAAACAAAGTTACAAATACAGACACATTCGTTGGTTTACAAAGAACTCATATTTAAGTTTAGAATAATTTTAAAAGAAATACTTTATTATCTAATGAAAAATTTATTCACTTAGCTAATTGCTTCTTCTTGAAGTATCTGATCTCCTGAGATTCAAATTATATTACAGCAATCACATGCACTCCTCCATCTTTGTCAAGTGATCATACAGTCAGTGACAGTTTTGGTATTTTTCAATCGATAGTTTCGTTATAAGACTTGACTGTTTGAGTATATAAATTACCAAATACATAAACCTAAATTAATACTCACTGAAATAACACTGATTAATATATATCTTCGTGATTAGACTATAATTTATGAGTGACATTTAAGCGATGCTAAGGCGAATTCATCTACTTACTACGGTCAAAAGAGGGTTATGGATTACTGAGAGGAGTAAGGATTAGTATTTAGAGTTAAAGGTTATGGTAAGGGAATCAGGAATTTCATCACGAACTGACATTAGTTACAACTTCAAAATGTTATTTATCCAAATGGATGAATGAATTTTGCGCCAAAATCCAAGACTTGCTATCTCAAATCAGTTTAGTTCGTCCATAAATTATAGTCTCGTTTGTCATCGGTTTTAGCATGTATCTGATCCCTAAACGAATGTAATACCAAACACTCATAGTACTTATAAATGATCATAAAACACGAATTTGACAACAATGTTGTTATTCATAGTATTACCAAGTAAGCAAAAGTGATAGGTATTATTTCAGAGGTTTCAGTTTCGAGAACTAAGTAAATGAAATCTTCGTTACAATTCTTCCTCCTAGTGCGTTAACCATGTTTTTTACATTACAAATCGAAAATTCAATGCTCAAAATAAAGATAAATTTCACATATAAAAGTTTAAATGAGAAAGGAAATACTCAATTACCTCCCAGTTAGCAACAAAATTATTTCCTTTAGTGATTTGCAAATTTTTCACTTCACTCGAGTTTCCTGAACCATTTTCAATTTGACTTTTGAGTTCAAGAAGTTCTTGTTGTGCATTTAATAGTTCAGCTGCAAGTGCATCACGTCTAGGTAAATATCAACAAAAAATTTACAAGTAAAATAAAGAAAATAAATAGTTGATAAAAACAAGGAATTATTACTTTGAATTCGAATAAGAATAAGAGAACAGTTACAATTAAATTATTCTGTCCATCAATGACTTTGAGTTTATTTACCTTTTCTGAAAAAAAACCCATCTGAAAATAAAGAACGGCATTTGATGAATAAATTGTTTGATTACTGATTCAGGTTAATATACTATTACAGTTAACATAAACTGTTGGAAAAAAACACTAAATCAAGATCGTGTTGATTGTTATTTACTAGAACATCTATATTTGTGAACACTTCAATGGAATAAACATGTTTAATTGCAAACAAACAAAACTCTTATTAAGTTAACTTACTCTGAACGAACAAGTTGACATTCCATTTCATAATTAGCAAGTGGAATATCCTGCACATTGGTTGAACTGGACATATGAAGAGGCTAAGCAAAGGAAAAAATTGAGTAAAAATACATTGAAGAAGTATTGGACTTAGTCAAACAGAATACACAAATCACTAGCAGTGATTTGAACTATAAGTTTGCCAATCATTTTTATTTATTCTGTTAACTCTTATGATAGTGTAATAGATCACTCTGAACAAAGAAGCCGGATATTTGATTATGTTTTTGCATTTTACCATTGTCGCATTTAAAATTTTAAACTATAAATGGGATAGATTTGAATTTGGATCGAAATTGTGAACGAGTGTTTTAGAATATAAAATTATTCTTAATAAAATTCAGTCTATAAGATGTTTGCTGAAAATCACTAAGGAAGCCCGTTTCAGGAGACAATTCTTAACGATAAAATTCATTAACTCATTCATCAGATATTTGGCTACAAGCCAAACACGAAGAGTGAGGGTTATTGATGCTACTCAGTTGCCTAAACCAAAGCAGATGGGGAGGAATTCGAACCTGAGACCTACTAATTCAAAGGCCAACGTCTTGACTACCGAGTTACTACTCTACAAAAGTACCTTTTGCCCCTGAATGAGGTTGAATCAACAACAGTTCGGTCAACAGCAAAACTCATTCATCCATTGAGTCAATGATGAAGCGAGTTGTTATAATTGTTTAGAAGATATTGATAATTATTTAAGAACTATTAGTAAAACGGCCTAATCAAAAAGGACTCTAAAATGAGAGACAATATTTTCTCATTCCATAATTGTTAGTCATTTCAACTAGATTAAATAAACAAAAATGAAACATTATAAATTAATGAGAGAAAAATCCACATTTGTTTTGGGATCATATTTATTGACAAACATTTCAACACTTATCTTCACAATCCATTCGTAAGCGTATTTTTAATGCACATCTTAAAAATATCAGAGATAAAAATGAAAATGTAAAGAAATAAGCCATTAAGGATCCTACTACCAGTTTACTGTCAAAACAATAGAAAACAATAGAAATAATAAAACTAGATAGATAAGTATCAATGCGAAAAGAATGTCTATGTACCTATCTTAGTGTTACTTGTTGAGTATATTTATTGTGCATATAATAAATAATGACTAGTAGTAATAATGTGGATAAATGTCTTCGGTTTTCATGTTTATTGATTACTTGAAAAAAGTTTTCTTAAATATGCATTATGAAAAATAATAATCAATTTAAAATTCATTTGATATAAATGATCTTTTGATGATTTTATCATGTTAACTTATTGAAATGTTAATATCTTTTTAAAAAAAAATCAAATGTAGTTTTTTTTTCGTACAAATAAGTAGTATTGTTAGTTATGTTCATGTTGTCCTAAAAATGTTTTTTATTATTACAGACACATTTCGAGGAAGAGTTTACTGCATATTTTGATTAAATTCACTTCCGTTCTAAATTTTTATCAAAAATTATTGTACGATAGGAAGTTGAAATAATTAATTTTATCAAATTTATGCTGTATGTTGTTTATGCATAATTTTCATATGAACAACTTTATTTATTTAATATTGAACTTGATAATTATGAATGTTTTATATATGAAATCATTACTAGTAGCAGAAGTTTATTAAGAGTAAATAAATACACAGTTGATCTAACTAATGTAATTTTTTTTATTTCTAATCTATTATCAAATAAAAAAGCCTGTTGAAGGATGTTCAGATTCGTAATTATATAATGAAGTATTATTATTGTCATTATTATAAAGTATAGGAAGGATACGGCCTTAATTTCTGTAACTTATACAGTTCACAGTCAGAGTAGGAAAAATATAATGTTACTGAAAATTGGGATATACTGTATAATCATAATTGAATTACTTACTTCAACTGTTTCTGCTTTACTTCCATCTGATATTACTGTATCTTTAGATAAGTTTGATGATGTAGGCTGTTCTGGAATCTCAACCCTCAAATCTTTCAGCAGTCCACGTAAATCAGTCAATACAGAACGTAATGAGCCCAAACGAAAATCCATTTCAACCATGGCCAATTCATCAGGAGTATGAGTACCAATTTTACTACAAGATTCTTGTTGCGTTCCAGTAAGAGCACATAATTCCACACACATTCGATTCATCTGCTGATAAATCTGAAATTATTTTTTGAAATAATCATTGAATAACAAACTGTAGTCCGACTTTTAAATAGGCGGCTAGGCGCCAAAATGTCTTAGAAGGAGGTTATTCATAATACGAACAAAATGAACTGTTTTGCAGTTCTGAAACGTAAAATTTTAGATACGAACGTACCTCTAAAAAGTACATTTTTCCAGAAAGTCAACTGATTGTTGCCTAACAGTATAAATGAAGTTTACTAACATTGGGAACATATTACTCGCAAGGAAAATTAAAAGCTTATCGCACACTGAAATTCGGTATGGTGATAGTTTCGAATGAAAATAAAAGATTTACAATGACCAAGTTCAGAAAATATAGAACCAACCGGAACCCATTACCAAAATTTACTGGTTAACGAGTTATACCGCCAAGATTACGATATAACTGCAAAATTCTATGAGAACTGACAGTGCATTTTAAACGAAATTTTACGTTATTTGGGTATTTACAGCTACATTTTAGCAGGAAATCACTTTTTAGGAAAAGTGTTAGAACAAGATGTTATGACCAACTTTTATGTGTTACTTACTTTGCGTTAAAATGAATATTTTAAATGTAGAACTGAAATGGTTTCATTAATTTTTTTATTTCAGTAAATCTATAGGTATCAAAGCAACATACTATAGTTCAACTTACTTCAAACAGTACAATATCAACAGTTTTTATATTTTCAGCGTTAAGCACTTATGAAAAATGGAAAATATAAATAAACCATCAACAAAGTTTTTTTGTAAACAACGAAACGCATTTAATAGAAACCTACTTCCGTTACTTCCGATCTCAGCTCGTTTATAAATGTTTCCTTCGTATTTATATTAGAAGATTCTAATGCAATATTATGTGAATCAGACGGTACCAAACTATCTGAAATAATATCCTGATCAAAACATGATAAGTAAGCCATGTATGTATCGTCATCCATTTCAAACTCCACATTGTCATCATCCTCGAGAGTAAATGGCGAACAATTATAATTCTGAAAGATTAATGCAATATAATGTATAGGTTTGCAAAGCTATCACATAAGACTCACATATTAACAGTGTAAAGACTAATTCCTTCTAAAAACTCACATACGAAACTTGAAAACTAAAATCAACACTGCTTCCTAAAGACATCTATTGTTCATAAAATTAAAGAAACTTGATAGATCAATCTAGTTACTAACCGAAAAAGTATGAAATCTCAGTCATGTGCATAATTTTAAAACAAAAGTTTTATCAGCAGTTGAGGAAAAATAATCGGCGAAATGAAACCGCGACCAGGAATAAAACAAGTAAAGCAAGACATAGTCTAGGTCGTTCCTCAAAAATCCACTTTCTCCGAATACTGATTAATGCTAAATGGAGACGTTGACTTATTATCAAGTTTCATTTATAAACCAAATTACATGGGGATTGTTTTAATGCCTTGGTGCTTCATCGTAATTGAATCACAAAAGGCTTTTCGGTATTTTAATATTATATGCTTGAAAACACAAAAGATGCCTTATTAATCGTTTGAACAGCTTTGAAAATGAATTCGCCGAAAAGAGAACTCTTCGCTGAAGTAATCTTTTTTGTTTAATGTCTTAATGGGTGTATTCCGTCTAATGAACATTATCTTACCATTCCAGTAAACATTACTGAGTAAGCCACCAAATGCAGTTATTCAGATAACTTTTCTTGATAACTGTAAAGTAAACGAAGATAACTGCTTATCCTAATTTCAACAAAACTACACATCCTGTCATTTCGTTTCTCTACAAAGAGACTATACTCAATATAATTTTATATGTTAAATGTCAACATGTGCCTATTAGACGAAAATAATAATAGTATCTATTTACATTGTAAATCATACTAGATCAAAAACTCTTTCAATCAAGCAGACCTATAAAATGAAAATAATACTTCTATATTTTAGTGATACTTCCTATTTAATAATAAAATGTCCAACATGTGATCACATTTATTTGTTCGATTTTTACCTTGTATTAAATTTTGGATTGATCTATTTTGAGAGGAACCAGTTATTTACTCTCAGAGTTTTGTATTTAATTTTACAGACCATTCTATCCTAAATGATCTAAACATCAAAACAACGGATTTAAACGTTTGTAATTTTTGTTTTTCTTTAATGAACGAGAATAACAGTATTGATCGGAAAGTGTAATATTTCTTTACTGTCTGATAGAAAGCATTATTCATATGTATAAACGGATCGATAATATTTATTTCATATTTCGAATGTTGATCATTTTTTTATTGTTGGATAAAACACCAGGATAAATAAGCTGAATTAAGCCTAAATTAAAATAAACGAATTTATTATAATTCTAGATTATTATGAATCTTTTTTCTCTTCATTTAAATGTTGATAATCAAGAAACTAGTAATGATTAGACATTGTTGGAAACATATTTAATTTTTATTACATTAATGAAAATCTATAATGGTTTACATATAGTTGGACCTGAGAATTTCATGATTTACAACTTCAGATTTTGTAAATCATGAGTTAATATTAAGGAACTTATTAAAAACTAGTACAATCAAGAAGATGAAAACAAATCCAGTCAGTCAGGAACAACGTAGAACTTGGTACGTACGTACATCAGTTCAAGCTGTCTACCACATTAGCACAGAGATGCAGTTGTCAATTCAAATCCCGTAGTGGTAGAGGTAGTAAGAGTATAAGCAGTAATCGGAAAGACTAGGGTTTGAAGATGTTATCAGATTGATGAAAATATGAAGCGAAAAGGGGACAAGGTACTTAGGTAGCTTATATACTACTTCCTTATAATGTGTAGTTTTATTAATTACAGACATAATTTATCCTACCTAGTTGAAATCTCATATTAATGGGTTATGGTTTTTCACTGAAACCTAAAGGCCAATAAATATAGATCCCAATATCAAAAGATCATTTTCAAAGTTAAATCTCATTTCTTTTGCTTTATGGATGAATCATAGTCAGATAAATTATAAAATCTGTTAGACTATCAATCATACACGATAAAAAATAATCAAACATACAGATGCTGAAGAGTAATCCAATCTCAATAATATGCCCCTGGTGAAAACAGCCAACAAAGAAATAGGTCTGCAGAACTGAAAAAATGTAGGTAGAAATAATTTGATTCGACATTCACTGGTGAGTTACCTCAGAACAGAACTTGTAGATGAAGATCTTAATTACAGAGCGTTATCAACTGTTTAAAATAGAGTCCGGTGTTAATGAACATCTTCGCTTTCGCAGATTCAAGATCATGAGCATGTGGTTAGTTAGAACGGATTGGGAAATTCCCCCTTACCACATATCTATTTATAAATGAATTTCATAATCTTTGAACAATATGGAAGTGGAATAGTAATCAAACCTAAAACTTAATGAAACTAATCCGATTGATAATTCACTATAAATTTGGAAGGTTATTTTGATTTCACTTTCATTATCTCATAAACTGTCTGGAATCATGACGGGTAGATAGCGCTTACTTAACCTGATTTTTTTTAAAAGCTCGTTTATGTTCAGAAGAGAAACACATCAGAAAATCTTACAGTGGCAATTTCTAACCCTATCACTATTACCTCTCGTGCTTAATTTCAGCTCAGAAACAGTAGTTTTAATCTTGACTTAGATTTTAGCATACTGTTCTGCTTCGATCAAAGCGATACAAAAAACACATTTTCAGAAGACACCAACTGCTTATCAACATTATCAGAAAATAAACCCATTCAATCAACCTGGTGATGGGTCACGTGCGCATAAGTCGCCATGATAATACTATTGGCACACATTTTGGTTGGCACGTCTGTCTACCAAAACAGAATATGTTGACCACTTTTAGTGGGTCAAACCCCCTAAATTTAATATGACTAAGTTTTTACTAATGCTTTTGATGAGAACATTGGAGCATTTATTTAGCTAAAGAAGAACAAAACCTACCTATTTGTTGTTCATTATCAAAGAAGACAATAGAGTATACTGAGCTCTAAATTAATTATAGCTCTTGTACAACAAAGAAACCAGAAAATGTTTCATCGTTATTTGTTATGACTCCATTAGCAAACTTAGTTTTAATGTTTATTTATTTATTTTATTTGAACACATAAATATTGGTACAGGGGGGCACCAAATATATATGCGCCACACAAAACAATGATAATTTGAAGAGAAGGAGAAAAGAGAAAAAAAAGTAATGAACGTGGGGAATTATAAAAAAAAAGAGAGAGAGAGAACAATGGTGGGGGAAACGGAAAGGTACAATCAGAAGAGATCTTCAGTTAAGGAAGATACAACCACTTTTTATGAAGAAAGTAAAAGAAGGTTACAGCAGGATCGCCACTGGCTTCTATTCTGAGCCATATCTGATAACGTCTCTAACGAAACTATCAGCGGTCTTCATTCTTCTCTTTCCGTGTGCATTTAGATGCTCACCCAGATAAAATAAGTTCTAAGCTAACGAAACATGTTTTTCAGGTACTACACTGTTTAAAATGAGTTAAAGTTCATTATTGATTACAACGACATCGGTCCAAAAATGATGATATTAGGCGATGCTGCAGTCAGTCAGTCATCCAAAACGTACGACCAGGCACACATGCATCGGTCCAAGATGCCACAATTCATTAGTACAACAAGATGAACAAATCCATAGAAGCAGTTACTTCGGTGGTATATATATAATATTGCATATAAGGATATGGACAGTCGCCTATGTGCTGTTCGGCTAAATGGGTCCGTAAGAAGTCGGATGGATAAACACATACGTCGTTGCCTTTTCATCGTTTCTGTCTACGCTCCCATTGACTGCATCCCGGATGAAGTAAAAGATGACTTTTACAGAAAGCTTTCTGAAATTCTTCATAAAGTTAGGCGTTCAGACATAGTACTCTTAGCAGGTGACTTTAATGCCCATGTATGTAGCCTAAACCAAGCAGAAAGACATCTAGGTGGGTGTTTTAATGTTCCGTCTCAGCGAACAGATAATTGTTGATGCAGACTACTTGGTTGGGGTCCGCATGACTATCGTGACCAATGGTTGGAGATTCTGTGTGACATGGCTCAGAATCAATCACAATGGCATATGTGTATGCACTCTCTGTTTTCCCTTAAACCATGAGATTAAAATCGCTTTATATTTTTCCTTCTACAAACTAAGTCTTTCTTTGTGTATTATATTATTATACATAATCTTTCTTTCATACATTAATACCATCGAAGTAATTACTGCTAACTCCGCCTGTAAGGTACACATGGGATGGGAATCTCGTGAATCCAGGATCGTCAAAACATCCTTCAAAACAAAGAGAGAAGTATAAAGATGAATGTTATCCAGTGTTATGCACCCACCAATGATAGCAACGATGACAATAAAGATCAGTTCTACGAGAGGCTACAATCAATCACAGCGAAGTGTCTAAGAAAGGACCTAATAATCCTGATGGGAGATCTTAATGCCATAGTCGGGATGAACAAAAACGGATATGAAGATATCATGGACTGGAAGAAAGGAACGGGAATAGGGAGAGACTTGCAAATCTATCAGTCAGTCAGTCATTCAGTCAGTAACAACGTGGAACTTGGTACGTACGTACATCAGTTCGAGTTGCCATACCACATTAGCACAGAGATTCAGTTATCGTCTCAAATCCCGTAGTGACAGAGTAGTGAAAGTATAAGTAGAGATAGGGGACATTAAGGTTTGATGATGTCATTTAAGGAGTATAATACAGTAAAATAAATTTGGAAAGAGAAAAAGAGGACATGAAGAATTCAGAAGATTAAAGTTTGGGAGAACACAAAGAGTGGATGCACCTGCGCCATTGCAAACGATTTTGAGCCATGTCATTCAAGGTCTCTAACCATCGGTTGCTATCATCTCGCGGTCCCCAACCAGGTAGTCTACACCTACCAACATGACTCAGTCCACTTGTCAGTGACTTCATGGATTTCTGCCATGTTTTGGTCTGGCCGCCCCTAGCTTTCTTCCAACCTACTCCTACACCAAAAAACATCGCACGTCGGGGCAGTCAGTGGTCAGGCATGAGCAACACATATCCCAGCCAGCTCAACTGATTAAGTTTCACTACTTCATCAATTGATTTGCCATCCTTATCGAGTACCCGTTTCATAACAACTGCATTACTTACTCGGTGGTCCCAGAATATACGAGCAATCTTTCGAAGACATCTGTGGTCGAATACTAGTAACCTACGAATATCCTCTACTCTTACTGGCCATGTTTCACTGCCATAAAGTAGGACGGAACAAACTGCTGCGCAGTAAACACGTCCTTTGGTTGATAGACGGATATCTCGCCTACGCCACAAATGACGCAAGTTGGCAAAAGCTAGTCGAGCCTTCTGTATCCGTGCTGAGGTTTCGTCACACACCAGACCACAAGGGCGGATGAGACTCCCAAGATAAGTGAAACGGTCGACACGCTCAACTACTTTACTCACTATCAATAGTTCAGGTGTCGATGCAACCCAATCCTGAAGCAACATTTTTGCATTTCGAGGGAGAAAATTGTATGCCGAACATGCTTGCATTGTTGCTTAGAGTGGTCAGAAGACTCTACATTTTGTCAGCGTTTTCACCAAATAGAACTATGTCATCGACATATTCTAAGTCAACAAGTGAATCTCCCGGTAGAAGTCCAACCCCTGGAAAGTCAGATGTGGAAAGTGTTATTTCTAAAAGCACGTCAACGACAAAGTTAAACAAGAATGGAGAGATTGGACAGTCTTGACGAACACCACTTGAGGTAATCAGTTCTGATCACAGTTCGCCATAAACTCTCACTCGACCAGTTGTGTTCGAGTAGAGAGCCTTTATAAGGTTGATGTACTTCTTTGGTACTCCCTTCAGTGACAAACACTGCCATAGAACCTCACGATTAACAGAGTCAAATGCCGCCTTAAGGTCGAGAAATACTACGATTGTGGGGCGTTTGGATGTATGTCTATGTTCTAGGACCTGTCGTAGTGTGGATATTTATGTTCACTCAACAAATTGATTATAGGTGGCTGATATATCTTGTTGTTGGAAGGCTACTTCTTTATATCTGGTTGTCGCAAATTGTTGTGTCGGAGACACTTATACTCGAAACGAGGGAACGCGGCAATTCCCACGGCGCGAAAGTAAGAACACAAAGACTAGTATCAGTGAAGATTTATTAACCCCCAAAACTCAACGATCCTAGTCGAAAACACACTCATTTAAATATTGATGAAATTACATACATAAACAATACTCAGTTATAAAAAATCATATGTTGACCATAATTCATGTCCATTGAACACAAGAATATTGTGTTGTACAGAATAAAACATCATACGAGAAAACAAAACCCAATACTACACAGAATAATCATCCCACTGAATCAAGACGGAAGTAATGTTGAACAAAACTCACAATGAGTAAATCAATCGAACTTTGACTTTTCTTTCCACCATATCAGTGGCACAATATTCCCCTACAAGCGCATACACAAAGTTACATGGGTCCCACTGGATCACACCACGGAGAACCAGTTCATATTTGCATCAATAAAAAAAAGTAGGGTGGAAGACGTGAGAACCACCACCTAGTTGTGGTCAAGATGAGACTGAAGCTAAAAAAACATTGAACAGCTGAGATACTAACAAACCCAACCAATTCACGATAACTCTTAACAACAGGTTCCAAGACTTACGGGATCTAATGAAAGAAACTAAAACTAGAAAGGGATCAAAGAAAAATTAACTTCAATGTGTCAGGAGATGCTGGGTCGTAACAAGCATCATCATAAGGAATAGATTTCTACCGAAACCCTTGCCACGATTCAAGAAAGGAAGAACAAGAAGACAACAATCAACAGCAGTCAGATATAGATAATTTGAAATATTCCCATAATGTAAATTTAGAACAACATGTATAAGCGAACAATATTGTTTTCGATTAGATCATCAGGCTTTACTCTAATATACAGTAATATTTATATGAATATACAAAATTATTAAACCATAAGTTATTTATCGTATTCTCATTAATTCTCCTTATGGTGTTCGACTTCGTCTCTTACACATAACAGAAGCTATAGGAATTCGATCCAACAAACCGAGTCTTTGTGTTCAGAAGAAATTTATAACACCCATATCTCTCCCTTGGCCTTAGTAAATGAATTTATTTATTATTGTTATTATTATTTTCTTTTCAAACCTTTTCGTTTATTATTTTTCTTCACCACATCCTACCACTTTATTTTATTTTCTCTCAAATGTGCGTTTCGCGGTTCAATTATCTAAACACTTCTTATAACGTCATCTTATAATTTTTATAAGTGTTATCTAACTATCTATATTTTTCTAATCATTGACCTATTTCCGATTATGTAACATTGATTTGAGCCTTTATTATTCTTATCAAAACTAGTACATCTGTCATCACACTATCAATTTGTACTTTTCACTTATTATGTAATCGTTTTCATTGTTATCATTGACTCATAAACTACCTTGATTGGTTTAATAATTTCGTATATGCATATAAATATAACTGTACATTAGAGTAAAGCCTGATGAGGATCTAATCGAAAACAATATTGTTCGCTTATATATTTTCTTCTAGATATAGATAAAGTGAAAGCATAGCCCTGAAGTTACACACAGATGTAACTGCAAACATGCCCCACGTTCTATTCAGGAAGAACAAGTGTTGACAAACTGTAAAGAATGACACCTCATCAAGATACAAAAAAAAGAGATTTGAGCAAATGTGAGAACTAGAGGTATCACATTACTGTCAGTACAAGGAAAGGTATTCAACTATGTTATTGAGCCGGATGAAAGACTCAGTAGACACTCGACTTCGAAATTAAAACAATGGATTGCTTGAGGATCGGTCCTGCACAAATCGAATCACGACGCTGCAGATCATCGTTGAACAACCGATTGAGTGGAACTCATCGATATACATCAACTTCTTTGACAATGAGAAGGCGCTTGACAGTGTAGACAGGAGAACCTTATAGAACATTCTTGGACACCATGTTGTACTTGAGAATATCGTCAACATCATCCGGAATTCATATGATGGACTATAGTGCAAAGACATGCATGTAAGACAGTTCACACACCCATTCCAAGAACCGAAGTCAGACAAGGCTAATGACTCTCTTCCTTTCTCTTTCTTCTGGTAGTTAACTGGATTATGAAGACCTTCACACGTAAGGGGAAGCACGGAGTACAATGGACCACTCGGAATCAATTAGATGATTTGGACTTCACAGATGACCTAGTCCTCCTATCCTATACACACGAACAAATGCAGATTAAGACAACTAGTGTAGCAGCAGTCCCTGCATCAGTAGGCCTCAATATACACAAAGGAAAAGGCAACATTCTCAAATACAACACGCAGAACACCAACTCAATCACACTTCATGGAGATTTTGGAACACGTAGAAAAATTCACATATCTCAGCAGCATCATCGACGGACATGGAGGATCTGATGCATATGTAAATGCAAAGATTAGCAAAGCAAGGGTAGCATGCCTACAATTGAAGAATGTATAGAACTTAAAACAACTATCATCCAACATCAGAGTTACAATCTTCAATACGAACGTCAAGACCGTTCTACTGTACAGAGCTGACACTTGGAGAACCACTACAACCATCATAAAAAAGTAAAGGTATTCATAAACAGTTGTCTACGCAAGATACTGAATATCCGTTGGTTGGATACTATCAGCAACAGCCTACCGTGGGATAGGACAAACCAGCTTCTAGCTGACGAGGAAATCAGGAAAAGACGTTGGAAGTGGACAAGACACACATTAAGGAAATCACCAAACTGCATCATAAGGCAAGCCCTCATTTGGAATCCTAAAATGAAACGGAAAAGAGGAAGGCCGAAAAACACACTACGTCGGAAATCGAAAACAGACATTGTGCTGCGGGTTAATTATATTCACATAAGTACTATATAACGGTGGTCAGGCATAGAATGTATTTCAGTAGAAGATCGATAAGGAAAGGACGGGAACGAAACGCAATTGGTATGAAAATGCATGAACAATGAAATCAAAGACAATGGACTGATATTTGCAAAAGGAACAGTCAAGTTTGAGACGATGGATTGATATTTTGCAGATTAACTATGTACTATATGGTTCTCAGATTTTATTGAGATGCTTTGTAATTTCGTGACTAACACATTTGGATGTCCCCGCTCGTGTTATTGTTCAGTACAACACGAGGAGAATGAATAGCAATTGGAAAGGATTTCCCAGGACAAGGTTGGATGAAGTGTTCTCGTGGAAGCCCATGCTCCTCCACGAGGGGTGACAGGCTTAAGTATTTACTTCTATGAATTCAGTTTACAATCTCTTGTACTAATGAGGTGTGGCAACTTGGATCGATGCATATATGTGACTGGTCCTACGTTATAGCTGACTGTTTACAATGATATGATACAAGGAGAAAGAATTAGTTCGTAGAAATAAAGGTCTGAATTAATTCACATTTCACAGGTTAAGGGAAAAAAAGGAGTCTATACACACACGCTAATGTGAATGATTGTGAGCCATATCACCCAGTCTCCAACCATTGGTCATAATAGTCACGTGGACCCCAACCAAGTAGTCTGCAAAAAGCCTTAGTCATTTAACTTCACATTGGAAATAAGATTTAAACCGTTACCTACTTTATTCATATTCATTTTGTTCTATTTTACTTATGACCGATCACATACAATTTAGTCTTTGGTGTTTTTATTAATCCCTAGCATTTCCAGTGTATAATTTCTTGGGAACCATGTCAACTAAAACTTTTCTACTTAGGTTGTCTAAACATGTATAGCTAATAATAAAACCTAGTATTGTGTGCACAGCAATAACAAAATAACACCATATAAAATTTGTGAGTTAATCAAAGATTATGTATTACAAAACTGTTCACCGTGGTCACAAATGTTTACCTCTGCTTGAATCATTTTTTGTTCAGCTAGTTCGGCCATCAAAGAACGATGTGGTTGAGAATCTACTGGTTTCACGCGATCATCCTCATTACTACTAGATTTCTGTTCACCTGTTTGGATCGACAATTTATGGAGCCGGTTGTGAAGTATACTAGCTGTCTCTTGAAGTCTTGTAATCTCTGCGTCTTGAATATTTATCTAAAAACTATGCTAACAAAACTGAAAACATACGGTAGCAACGTGTTCGTTAGTCACATGTCTCATCATCCTTATTTCTTGATAAGAATCATTGAGTGAATCTAGAAGGCTATTTCTTTCCTCCATAACAGTGTTTAACTGGTTTTCCAAGTGGTTTTTCTCCTCACGTAATTTAGTGATCTAAAACTATTATAACAGTATTACGGAACTAACTTCTTGTCTCAAAGACTCGATTGACTGAACATGTTCCTGCATAGACGACTTGTGCTTCAAAAATTCCAACCTCAAGGTAGACATTTCCTCCCTTAAAAGAGCTTCATTCTCACTGGAAGAATTAAGCCGACAAGTTAAAGATTGGTTCTGTTGAATTAACTCGGATATAGTAGTATTTTTCTCACGTTCGATCTGTCTACACATTTTCTTTTCCTTCTTCAGGTCTATACGCATGGCAATTATATCCGTCTGTAGTTCTTTTACTTGAGCATCGTAATCACTCTCAACAGCCTCCAGACGAAGCTTAAGAATCTGACGTTCTTTTTCCAGGCTCTAACAATGTCTTATGTATTGCAAATCACTTACATGGATTTTCTGTAGTAAAGATTCCAGTACTTCCCCGTCACTATTGTGACAGTCATTACTATGTAGCAGATATGAAGATATCCCCTCGGTCCCGGTGCACAGAACATCAACATTTGAAGAATTCATTGGATTACAGACGTTAAATGACAATTACTTCTAATATGTACTCACTTAAGTATAATACCTATGGCAGCTGAATTAAAACATATATCATAAATTTATCTGGACAACTGCAATGTCCTTCCTTTGATAGGTTTGAGTATAGACCAGAGATAATTTGTATGGGGAGGAAGTGTTCAATGTAGTACCAATCTAAAAGAGAGAAGAACAAGATAGAAATTGACCACGAAGTTCAACAATGACATGAGATGAGCTTGCGTCTAATAGTGAATGAAGTCAATCGAAATTAGCAATGACGAAAGCTCAAAAACAAACGAAATAATAATCAGACAGCGATAATTGCCGCAAAATCACAATGCGCAGATCGATCAGATAGCTGAAATCTCTATTAGAAAAATGTCCATTGACGTGCCGACAAGCTTTCAGCTTTGAAAACAATCAAGCAGCAGTAACCACCCAACCATACGTAATGATCTGACCAATCAACAATTTCCAAATCGATAGTTGTCTTTATCATACCGTTACCAAGACAAAATTCTCTATATTCCCTAAACGTTTATATTAAATATAATCAATAACCACAACACCAAAGAGTGAAGACAAGTTTCTTTTCTACTGTCAATAAACCAATCTAACACAGATTTTAAAGTTCCACTTGACAATAACCAGGGAGGTTTACCTCTATCAATTATTGATGGCCCAAGACAAATGCTTCAAAATTTTATTTGACGGTTTGTTTAGCATAATCGAGTCCTCTTTTTGGCATAGCTAGGTATTTTAATGTCCTAAATATTATTATTCCAGTGGAATGCTTATTTACATATTTAACTGGTAAAATCTCGGGTCTTGATTGTACAATTGATGCTGTTTAGAAAAAGAAGTAATTATTCTTCTGGATTGATAAATTATATCGTTTTAATTGTGATCTCACGCGCAAAGACTTCGATTTAATGACCAATTGAATTAATTATGTATGATAAAAGTACGAGTTTATAGACAGTTTGACATTTACATCAGTGTTTTGGTTTGCATTCAGATTGAGTGCAGAAAAATTATCGAATGGCTTGTACTGAGTAGATAAGATAGTTCACTTATGAAACAGCAGTGTCGAACTCTTTTCAATATAGTACAAAACATTTAATGTTGTAGTGTTCATATTTTAATTGATCGTCAAAAATTAAGGAAAGTAATGAGACATACATGTGTTTTGCAAAATCGGACTGTGGAGATGAAAAGAGTTTAAGGAACAAAACATCAAAGCTTGTCAAAACAAATTTCGCAGAGGTCAGTAATTTCTCACAACAGAATCTTCTGTGAAGGAACCAAAGCCTAGGTCTGGAAGCACCTTAAGTCGAATTAAGTCACTAATAAGCAAGCTACTCTCGGGAATAACAAGATAAGTATTCATAAAGCTTACAGAATAAAATAAGTGGATTCTTGAAGTACGTGAGCAAGCCGTCCTTCATACTATTATTTTGCTTCCGCTGAAGAAAGATATCTGAAACCGGGAAACCCATTCAGATTAAATGGACTGCTGTATGTGCATATAATTGCTTTGACGCAGACGGGAAGATTTACACAGATAGAAATAAATTACGCGTTGAAACATCGATAAAAGCTTAAAACTTGAATTTATAGGTAGTCAAAACTCTAAACAAAACGACCTTCAACCACCGTAGGTGGTATTAGAAAGATGAGGTAATCAATATGTATATATATATATATATATATATATATATATATATATATATATATATATTCCAAAGTATTCCTTGAATAATATCTAACAAGTTGTACGTAAATTTCACAGCAGCTGAACACGTGGGCCAGTTTGTCATGTTACACCTTATGTAATAAACTGGACAATTTTGTTTCTAGAAAAGGTTTTTTAGCTTTCCTTGATATTAATATTTTGCCGTAAAGGTTTATCCCACTCTCCCAGTTTCGGGTAATTTTTGAGGAATTTCGGAGAAACTCTCAATTTCGAATGAACTTCACCAAGGTCTAGGAGAAATTTTGAGGTTTGGTGCCGCTTCCCCAAAATTTTCTCAAAATTGGGAGATCGTGTTTTTAACTTTGGTCTGCGGTTTAAAATATTACCAGGGCCTAACAGCAAGATCAAGTAGCTGGATTAACTGTTAATATAAAATTCTTCAGTGTCAAGAACACGTTTGGAGCTTAATGAACATGTGACTAATAGGATCTTCCCAACCAAACGTCTGATTCCGAACCATTGGCCTCTATAAGTTCAATATAACAATGATTTCTGAAGCAGTATAACAAAACTTGTAAATTCATTGGCAATAAATAAGAGGGTTCATCCATTTGAGTCATGAGCAAAAATTATGATCTGTACATGTTTAAGGCTTTGAAATCCTCATATTTATTGTTTATTGATTTTCCCAAAGGATATTTTTCTGTGTTACAAAGATTGATTTAGCTTACTGTTCTTATGTATAAAATTCCGGTTCGCCATCCATCTTCAGTCTTCAGTAATAAGGATAGTAGGTTAGTGAATCTGTGGTAATCCTAACAGGTTGCCTTCCAGTGAAGGTCCAGTTTCTCCTTGAAAATATTCACTGATTGGGCTGATACCACTTGTTCGGGCAAAGCGTTCCAATCATTGATTACTCGATGAAAAAAACGGATCCTCACCTTGAGTTTATTAAATCGTGGTTTATAAACTTCTTGCTATGACCTCGGAGATTATTAGTGCTGGAGGGAGCAAAAAGATAAGACATATTAACACCCAAACTATAATTAAAGATACGAATTGCCAGTATAAGGTCACCTAGAGTCCTACGATACGACAAGGGGTAAAGGTTTAGGCGTTTTAAACGCTCATCGTAAGGGAGTTTAGAAAGACTCTTCACTAATTTCGCTCCCACACGCTGGACACTCTCAAATGAGTTAGTATCCTTTACCATACATGGGCTAGCTGCTTGGATACAGTACTCTAAATGTGGTCTTACATAGGTGCATATAAAATTCGAGACATTTCCTCGTCAAAGGATCTGAACGCTCGGCGAAGTGACCACAACGCACGAAAACCTTTGACAGCGGCTGCGTTGCAATGCGTAGTTGTTTCCAAGTCATGACTTATTATTACTCCTAGGTCTTTATATTCTTGAATGCATGGAAGAGGTTTATCATCAATGGTGTAATGGTAACTATTGCCGTGATCGATGTGCATTAGCACACTCTTCCTAGAATTGATTTCCAAGCCCCTACTCCGAGCCCATCTAACTAAATCGTCTAAGTCAGCTTCAAGATCCAGATTATCAGCCCCATTTTTTATTGTTCTCCAGATTTTTACGTACTCCGCAAATAATAATGTCGACGACCTAAGCAACAGCGGTAACTCATTTACATAGGGAAGGAAGAGCAGAGGGCCTAAGATGGTGCCTTGGGGTACACCACTTTTGACCGGTTTCCAATCGGATAGTGTCCCATTGACCCTCACTCTCTGTCTGCGGTCACATAAGAAGTTTCCTATCCACTCCTGTACAGTACCTATTATTCCGAAGCTCGTGAGCTTCTGCATAAGGCCCAAGTGTGAAACCTTGTCAAATGCTTTGCTAAAATCTATGAATATCACATCGACAGACGGACCTTTATCTAAGGCTACTGTCTGATCCTCTCTCACAATAAGTAAGCATGAACGCTTATCACGAAATCCATGTTGCTCAGGAGCTAACAGATTGTGTGAATCTATGTGGCTTGGCAACCTAAACCGAATTATCTTTTCAAGTAACTTAACGACAATGTTGGTTAGACTGACAGGCCGGTAGTTAGATACGATCTGTCTCTGACCATCCTTAAATATAGGACTGACTATAGCATCTTTCCAATACCTAGGGATTTGAGCGAGTGAAAGGGACATGTTGAAGAGTGTCGCGAGCGATAATGAAATAATATCCGCAAGAGATGACAACAGCCGTGGATGTGACCCGTCAGGACCCGGTATTTTACAAGGTTTGAGGTTAGTTATCAACGGAAAGACAGTTTCCTCAGTCACCTGTACAGATTCAATGGCTGGTATCTCTGTGTGATTGGGAAAAGTATTTGTTACAATAAACGTAGAGTATACTTCACTAAAATCGTTTGAAAATGTCTCAGATTTTGCCCGATTTGATTCAGCTAGCAAATCTGGTACTCACGCTTAAATGATGCATGACCTGTCAACAAGGATAAGTCCCAGAAGTGTTTCCTACGCTTTAACAGCTTCCGCGTTTCCTTATTAATCCATGGAGGGCAATGCGATAGCTTACGTGCTGACCATAGGATAAACGACGACGTCACGGACTCGAATGTAGCCTTGAACGTATTCCATTCATCTTCGATCGATCCATCTGTGTCAACCGACCAATCAGTCGAGATAGCACAGTTTCTGATTGCCTAAATATTAGCCCACCAGATATTGGGACGGGGTGGAGCAGATACAAATCGTATACCATGTGTCCTAAACTTAATGTGAGGTACAACGTGATCACTGTTCACTAGTGGAGGAAGGTGCTGAATATCAAAGACATCCTCACAGTGGTGGGTGAGGGTAAGGTCCAGAAGTGATGGATCATGTTTCAAATCAATATGTGTCGGTTTAGTGATACATTGGACAAGTGCACACTGAATAACGGTTGATAAAAGGTCTCTATCAAAACCTCCACTTGAAGCTGTAAGCTCCATCTAGTTGATGTGCGGTGTGTTGAAGTCCCCAATGATGAGGCAACATTCAGCCATACTCCAAGAACAGATGTGTCTTAGGATAAAGTCGTCAGCAAGACAACACGGACTACGGTACATTTCCCCTATAGTCACTAACCCATTTCTAGATTTAATCTTACAACATGCTACCACACATGTACCACTAACATGAGCCTCCGATATGATTGATTTTACACGAAAGTGATTCCTAATGTGTAACATTATGCCTCCCCCCTTGCAACTTAAAACTCTATCACTTCTAATACAGACATAGTCTGTAATGATAGGAGAACATTCCATATCCGCGGTGAACCTAGCTTCTGTAATGACAATTATATCTGGATTTATTTCATTCAACATCAGACTTAGCTCGGACGTTTTATTCCTAAGACTACGGGCGTTCGTGTAGCACACACTTAAGGTGTTTTGGTAATCATACGTTCTAACCATACAGGCCTCGGAAGCATTGGCTTCCAAGACCTGACTACCCGAATACCCTTAATGGTAAGGTTAGTTTCGCTATCTAACTTGCGAGTTCTCAACTCCGTAAGACCATTCTTCCACTTTATTTGATCCTCAACGGCCAATCTAATCAGACGCGAATATTTGAATCACGAATTTTTTGTGAGTTTTTCAATAATATATCTCTTTCTTCAAAACTCCCTAGAACCAGCTTCAAGATCCTTCTTGGTTGGGTCTCGCCCCCAACCCATTTACCGAGTCGTATCACTTTCGTAGTATGTACCCCTGAAACCTCTTCAGGTAGTACGTTTCTTACCACGGATTCTACTAACTTCAGATCATGTGCAAGTCTCTTAGCAGGGTCATTGTCTATCGACTCCTCTATGTTCCAAATAATTAAACTGGGGAGTGATTTAGTTTCTTTTGGAATCGTGACCTTACATCCTGTATATTAACTACTGGTATCTTACGATTAGTTTTAATTGTAACAGAGTCATTGGAGTCGAGAGAGTGATTCACAACAATGTTTGAAGAGACTTTACTTTGGGACTTTGGCGGGGTGGTTTGAGAGTCCACCAAGGACTTATCAAGTAAACTGTCATCAGTTTTGGCTATCTTTCGTACTCTTCTGCGTTTCCGCTTCATCCATTTTCCATCAGTCGTAGCATCTACATTAGAACTACTCGGGAAATTAATTGTTTTATCTGGCCACCAATATCTAATGAGGTGTCACTCATTGATTGTTTCGGGGTAGAAATTTTAATTTCGGGTTGCACAGTTAGATGTCTGGCTTGTGGCGTGACAGCACTTACGACACTGACGCAATTTTCGCAATCAGTACCAATGTTGCCAGTACAGCCCTCATCAACCTTCTTATTAGCCAACACCAGGAGGCTAATTGCTTCCTGGATGAGTGATGTTTTGCTCGGGCAATAAAACCTACAAAGCTAATGAGAGTTGGGATTCGAGCACCTTTCATATGCAGCGGGGCTTAGTCGGGTGCACATCTTGTGGAACCACTTATTACACTCGTCACATTGCATCCATTCCCCCACGGAGAATAAACAATATGGTTGTCCACATTTATGAGCCGATTTAGCCATCTTGAAAACCAAATACAATGGTAATACAAACAGGATATGTAAAAGAATTCTAAAAAACTTAACTAAATTAATCAAGTAAAAGTCGACCTAGTATGCTTTGATGTAATAAATACACAAAAGCAGAATCCAAACACTCAATACAATGTCACTTTAACTGCAGTAGCTTCAGTTTAAGTGTAAACAGTAGTTTTGATGTGTAATTTACGATCAAAACAGTTAAGTAACTCAACGAGAAACAATAACACTGTCCTTTTAGAAAGCGCGCAATTGAATGTCATAGTTCCGAATACTCTGTTTGGTTGGTTTTTGTCTTCAGAACTATAAGAAAATATTTTTACTGATGACAGAACTTATTAAACTGGAGATATGTTATCACTTCGCGATATATTTTTACATTAATTTGACAGCTTTAATTAGTCCAAATCTTTTGTGATAACATTTGTGATGCCTTTTTTATTATATATGGGTGTTTGTATTGTCATATAAATAAGATATAAATTTTGTGCGCTTACTGATCTTATTGTTCTTACAATGCCAGTCATCTATCAAAACGTGATAAATGTTCTGTTAAAAATCTTTCCGATTGAGACCTTGATTTGTACTCTATGTTGTAAGAGGAAAATTCAAAGAACGGCATCACTCTTAAGAAACTTTGGTTGAATTTGTGAGCATGTTTTTTGTTCCACACTTTATATAAATGAATTAGATACCAAGAATTGAAATGAACAGTTGGCATGAGGAAAAAACTTTGAATAATACGAAAATATTATTGAAGAACACTCACGAGTGAGCGAAGTTCCTTAATATTTTTAGTAGTTGCTGTATTTTTTTAGTAGAGCTTGTCGATTCATATCTGGTTTAAAACCGTTAGCGTCAATCAGATATCCGAGACATTAACACTAGAGACACAAAATGAACACTTATTTGGATTCATAGTATTATTCATTTCAATTAAAATACGCAAGAAACTCAAAGTCTCAAATCATGAGCTA